GCACCGCGCTCAGCCAGTGAGCGCACCGGCCATCCCTATATAGGATCTGAACCCGCAGCGGAAGCGCTACTGCGCTCCCAGCGCCGCACTCTCCCGAGTGTGCCACGGGCTCGGCCCATATTTCCAAATTTTTTTATAAAAAATGTTTACTTATGTAAAAAAGAAAAAGTACTAATATAAACACCCATGTAACCTCTATGCAAAATTAACTCTTCAGCCAAAACACAGAATGACAATACAACCCATAGAAAGTGATTTCACTGAAAGATAAGAAAATCTACTTTGATGTTGGAAAATAATAAATTTTAGAAAAGGGAAAAGACAGAAGAAAGCCTCGAGGCCTCTCTCTTGCTTTTTCTTATCACTAACCACCACTCTGCAATACACAAGATTATTCCCCAATGCTCCTTTCAATGTTATAGCCAAATCCTGTTGTCACAGATTGTCTCTTCTCTCCAAATATATTCCTCAGGCCCTGCAGTTTCCATGGGACACATGTGACTAGAAACTGTGGCAATAATTCATGCTACTGACTTCTGGAAGAAATGAAGCAAGCAGAGAACATGGCAGTACAGCTTGTCTTACACGTAAGATCAATAGTGAGGACACTTTCTTTTGTTCACTGTAAAAACTGGTACCTTATCTCAAGAGTATGGCAAAAATCACTGAAAGCATTCTGTGAGCATCAATTGAAATATGGAATTTACAAAACAGTACAACTGTAAATTGTAGGCTATCCATCCTTCATCTTAACAAAATTTACAACTCACTAGTGACCATATAAATATGCACACATTTTTGTTCCAGAGAGCAAGTTAAACATTTACAGGCTCATCGCACATGCACGGCTGCAATGTGAACTTGCTATTCCCTCACCAAGATGTGGAATCCATCTGTCCAGCCTTGAATCTGGGTGAGTCGTGTAACTGCTTTGAACAACACAACTCAATAGAGATGACACTGTGCCAGGCCAGGGTATAGCCCTTAACTGGCCTGACACTTTTTACTTCTTGCTTCTTAAAAGCTAGCTGCCATGTAACAAAATGCAATATGGTTTCCCTTTCTTAGGAAACCATATTGAGAGAAACCCAAGGTACAAAGAAAGGCCCTGGAGGATGAGATGCCATGAGGATAGAGAGAGTGGCCAAGGAGCAACAAGTCACAGACAGGTCAGTGAAGAAACCATCCTGGACGTGGATTCTCTACCCCCAGCACCTCCCCTGATGCCACACGGATCAGAAACAAACTGCTAAGCTGTGTCCTTCCCAAATTCCTAACTCACAGAATGTGGGCAAAATGAATAGCTGTTTTAAGCTACTAAAGTCTGGGGTGGGTTGTTACAAATCAGTTGATAACCTGAACACTATTCCAAGACTTTTATCTTATAGATGATAATATGGAGGTCTAGAGAGGTTATGTGACTTGCTAGCTGTCAAATGGGCACAAAGTGACAACAATGGGGCTCACATACAGGCCTTCTTACTTCAAGTCCTGCACTCTTTTCAACAGGATGAGCTTCAGGACCCAAGTCACCCAGGTAATTGCCTCAAATCTCCATCCTGTATATGCTGGTTTGCAATTAGAAATGATGAGTCAGTGATATAAATGATGTGGCAATGAATGTGATATGAATTAATAGGGATGAGCAGTTTTTTTGTTTTTTTTTTTGTCTTTTTTTTTTTTTTTTCGTGTCCGGCAACAGATCGCAACCCTCAGTGTCGCACCCGTACCG